CAACCGAAAATAAGAATGCAAATTCCAATCTTCAACCTAATTTTGGTTGTTCAAAAACAGAAAAAGGGTAAAAAAAGTCTTTTTTTTTAAAGTTCGTTACAAAGTGAAAAGAACGGACATTCCAGTAATAACGGAAACTATTTGGTATTTTGATAATAACGAAAACTATAACGGATATATATGTAATTTTTCCTAGCTTATAATCAATTCGAATAAATAATATCTTTAAAAAACATAGTTATACATTGGCATAAGCCTCTGCCCAAAAGAGATATACCAGTTGTTTAAATATTCCTCAAGAATGTTTAGGAGCGCACCATCAAAAGCATCACCAACATTTACAATAACAAAGGACGACATTGTATAAAATATAACAAGATTCCAAGGTATTTTTATAAAATAGGAACCAAGTTTGCTGACATGTTATGAATTCTAGATAAATTTATTAAATTATTTATGAGAGATGAATAATTTAACAACTGACCTATATTTTATGATTTAATTTAAGAAACACATAGGAATAGTTGTAAATAGATTGAATGTTCAATAGTATTATCTCTTATACGTATTTTGATAAATTTCTTTGATTTTTATATCTGATGCACTAGTAAAAGCATCCATTTCCATTATAATGCTTAATTTTGAACATGGCACTAAACCAATATTGTGAAGAGTAGGACCCAAGACAAGTGTCATAGATGGTCTGGCCCAAAGTAAAAGTCAAGTTTGGTTTAAAACTAACCACATCTAATGTCAGAAAAATTGACCAACCGACCATGCTGGTTTTGACCACATAAAAAAGTTTGGATAACCATTTCTTGTAAAATATTTAATTGTTATTTTATTTATTTTTAGAAATCTAATATGATAAGTTTGACCAATGTCTAATAGATTTTGACTAGACTACACCCCTCACAGTTCAGTCTAAATTCTATATAATTTATATTTTCCAATCTCCTACCCTGATTATTTATTTTTGTTTTGTTCGCAATATGAAATGAATTACCATGACCACATTTAGGTTTTCATTTAGGTGGAAGCTGCACTCCCTCTGGGAAAAATGACTAGATTACCCTTTGCTCTAGCTTTGGCGGTACAAGGGATAAGAACTTTCTACTTATTCCAAATTGGACTATTATAGTTAATTAGTTGGTACTTATGACTCAATTAGAATGCACTTATGCAATAGCCTTAACCTATAACTTTGAAATTACAACAATAATATTAGCAAGAAATAGAAACTATAGACATTGATGATTTTTTAGGCTAAAAGTCAAAACTTTAACCTTGTGTTCTATGCCTTGCCATGAGATGAAAACACCAGCATTACTTCGTTACATTTCTTTGGCGGTTTTGTTCGTAATTGTAGCCGGCTACTATTACGAACAAAACCGCAAACAACTAACTGTGGTGTTTGTCATTAACGTCTTATTAATAACCAACAATGAGCATTGTGGCCACATACCATGGATGTCATAAATAGCAAATATATGGAGTACTTTCTTCGAACCATAACTCAACCATTGTGTTAGTTACGATATAGAAAAGAGTAATGAGAGGAGAAAAGCATTATGGTCAGTAACTACTTTGCTTGGTTGGCATGCTCACATAGTAACATGTTGTGTAATGAAATTTTTGTATGTGAATGTTGCACGAAAATGCACCTTAGTCCTCTATTGTTTTAGATGAAAGAAGGCTCTACAGTGCTATGGGGATTCAGAATTCATGTGAGAGCAAGTAGAATTATCGGATCAAAAATTGTTGCCATTGAAAATGCAGCTCAATTGAATCTTGGTATATCTTTTTATTGAAGGGATGGAAAAGATGCATCTTGGCACAATATCATTGAAGAACAATTTTTTTTGTTACGTGGCCTCAGTATGGGAATGACCTAATAGCACAAAACGGACACCAGAATTAATGTAGCTAACCCCAATTAGTTAGAAAAAAGCTCCATAATGATAATATGAGTAGGTTTACGATGATTATATGATACAACGAAAAATAAATACAATGAGGGTAGCTCTGGGTGGTTAAGGGGGGCAGATGTCTCAACGTAACATCTCATACCCTTTTTCCCATCATCAACAAATCATAAACAGAAAAGGAAGAAGAAAAGAAGAAAAGAAGAAAGTGACATTTTAAATGTTGTTTGGGGCATATTTATTGCTTCATAAGAGAGAAGTAACACTTCTTATAGCTAGAATCATAGTTAGCAAGTCGGGGACTATCAATAAAGTGGCAACATAAAATCGAAAATAAATCTTTTTTATTTAAAAAAGTAGGATGAAAAAATTAGGTCAAAAATACGAATCGACAAAAATACTTCATGTAAATATATCACAAATATACGAGACTAGGCTAAAAAAATTGGAGTAAAAAAATGGATAAGTTTAAAATATTAGAAATTTTAAAATTCTAAAAAATAAAAAATATGCCAAAGCCATCAATAACTAATCCATTCATAAAAACTTTACTAGATTAATATAATTAAATCAATTAATTTAGATGTCTCATTACTCTCTTCCTATCATCCAATATTAATTATAAAATTAACTAGAGATATTTAAAATTAAACATAAGAAAAAAAAAAAAGGAGTTTGGAAATATGTAATCCCCAAGTCATGTAGCTAGGCATCATCATCATCATGATCACCATATGGGGAGGTGTCCTCATTTTTCACCTCTTTGGAAACCTGTTATGGCAAAAAACCAAGTAGTTCATGACTAATTGCATTACAATCACGAATTTCATTTTCACAAGATACAACCATCATCTTTGAGTTCACTTTTATGTAAACCAAATCGGTTAACATAATTGGTGTCAATCTATTCATTTTTTTGGTTTGAGTCGTCTTAAAAGCACTCCAATACCTTTCGTATGCTTATGAGCTGCATGGTTGATTCAAAATCTGAATGGCAACTATTCAAACTAATGGAATGTTTTTTTTACATACTACCCACCAAACTCTTACATAAGGAAGAATTTTAGCTACTTATTTACGATACAATTAAAAGTGAAATAAAATTTATTTTTTTAAAATATTAAAAAAATAAATAATACAAGAAGATACAAAAAACTAATAGTCAAGAAGATACTTACGAGGATGAGTTATTAACAATAATCCCATTTCAACACTATCAAATATATTTGAATCCCGTGTATGGTACTTTAACAACTCTTAAAAGAATACATTTTTATGTTCAATCTGGATCATTGTATTTAAAATCAAGGTAAAGCAAACCTTCATTTTAGGATTAAGTTTAACAAACCCATCACTCATTAAAGTTGAATTAAGAAATGCGGCTGCAGCATGAATTAGGTGAATTATATTTCTTTTTCGTTTTTTTCAAACATCTTCAACAATTCAAGATATCTAGATTCATTGTCATTACAATTCCTCTTTAGTTCTTCCCTTTCCCTTCACATTGCTTCATATAAATATCCCATGTTGGACCCCTCACTATCATCGAAATGAAGCACTTTGATAAGAGGCTCTAATGTAGTGATTGTATCGGTTACATCATTTCAAAATTTGGAGCTTTGAATTATTTATGTGATTTTTATCCCATTTTTACTCTTGCTATAATTTATAGCTCTCCACTCAAAGGATGCAACCATCAATATCGATTCCTCTTCTACTTGCGATACGGATTGAACCATAAAAAAGTTAGTGGCAAATCTACTTGTACCATATTTTTCAATTCCCTTCCATTATATGTATTCTTATTTTATCTAAAACCATGGTTTGCCGATACATGAAATACACTATTAGCTTAACATCCTTAATGATATCTTGTACCCAAATGACATCCTTATCAATGTCTTCTAAATACCAATCCAACCCATGGGTAGTACACCATGATTTTATGAATACGAGGGAATCTCGATTCTATTAGATCACTAGCAAGTATATAATTTAAACTATTGTCAGTTGCAAGATGAACAATATTATGTGGTCCTAACTCCTCAATGACTTGAATAAGAATTTTTCAATAAATAATTCAGTTATGTTATGCTCAGATACCTCAAATACATTTTTTAAAATTGATCTATTAGGACACGATGCAACAACATTGAAGAATGACTGGTTTTTAATATCTGACAAGTGATCTGACATAAAAGTCCATTATGATTGAACCCATGAATCTTTTATTGAAGCTACATATGTATCGACTCTATCTTAAGTTGTTGTATCAATTTAGTGTGAACAGATGAATAACTTGGCAATGTGTAACAAAATACCAAAATTGATACATATATTTATCATATTAACAAATGATTATGTATTAATAACATTGAAAGTTATATTATTCATGATAAATGCGCAAGTAACTTCTTTGTCAATAAAATCTTTAATTTTCTTATTAAACAATGATGGTAAATAACTTTATTGTAAACGAGAACTAGTAGTAAAGGTACAAAGTGATGCATTATAATTACCTAGGTTTATCGAATCTTGATCAACATTTTGATCATATGATGTAATTTAGTTCTCCTTCTTTGGGGGCTTTGAAGATACCTCGTGTGTCGCAGTGACAGCCAAAGCTTGTACATCATCAAGTACATGAGGGCAAGCTTTTATATCAATCCTTAGTTCTCTTGGCAAGTGATATTTGAATCGTGTTATAGAAAGCATTGAAGGTAAATGTGTGTTGAATTTGCATTATATACAATTTAAATAAAGTTAAGTAGAAATAAAAATAAAATAATAAGTTCATGATAAATACACCATATGAGTTTTTTCATTAAATGCTTTAACAAACATCACACCTATTTAGTACAAAGTAAAACAAAATACACCATATAAATTTTTTCATTAAATACTTTAACGAACATGGAGCTACTTAAGTACATAACCAAAAAAACGTACACCATAAAAATTTTCTCATTAAATACTTTAACAACCATCACACATACTTAAGTACACACCAAAGGAAATACACAATTTTTTTTTCTTTTAATGGTCACTCTATAACTAGGCTAACGGTTGGGTTTATGCTTAATTGAAAATAGGGCTCGTAGCATTTGGGTACTCTGTTTCTAGAGAGAGAAACATTCCATTTGGGTACTACGTTTTTAGAGAAGAAAAACACGTATGTCATTTTCCTCTTTAATTTGCAGGAGCAGGAAGATTCAAAGCATGCGGTTCAATGTGATGTATATGAATTGGGTACAGTGGTTTTGGCAGGAGAAAAGAAAATGGGGGATACACGAATTGCAGGGAAAAGAAGACTCCAGAACCCTAAAATCTGTATGGTTAGGCTTTCTTCTGTAACATCACTCTATTTCTAGACTTTTCTTTTCCTCTGTAATTTGCAGGAGCGAGAAGATCCCAAAACCCTGAAATCAATCTGGGTATAACCCGTGGGAAGAGTTAGTTATTACTTTGCAAGAAGAATTTGTGATTTCCTCTTTAATTTGCAAGAGAGAGAAGCAGCACGCACGGAGGAACAAGGATTATGTTTGCAAATTGTTTAAGCGTTTTTTTTTAAAAAAGATTTTATATTAAATGCGTAATATGGATGGTCTTTGAGCCTTAATTTTGATTGAAGTTTTGGTGGAATTTTGTCAAGCCAAAATTTTATGATTTTTTATTCAATGGTTTTCATTTTATTATATTCTAATTTGATTCTAATTTGTGATAATCTGGATGGTTTGAGCCCCAATTTGTGATAATATGGATGCTTTTGAGCTGTAATTTATGATAATTTGGATGGTTTCATGCCATAAACAATATTTACATTAAGTATTATCACAAATAATTACATAAATCTGCATCCATATGATTTTCTTTACACAATGATTTGCCATAAATAGTGTTTCCTTTACATAATGATTTTTCATAATAAATATTGAAATCTGCATCTATATGCTTAAGTTAAAAAAAAAAAAATCATTCATTCAATCTGCAACTGTGGCTTTGAAGAAGAACATGATTTCAACACAAACCCTAACGATACACATACCTGTTGGTGATAAAAATTTATATTCTAAGTTTTTTTGGAAATAATATGCTTTTTTAAAAAGTATGAAAATAGCAATACACAAAACAGGAAAAAGTTACTGTTTCTTATGTTTCAAAAAAAAATTTACAGGTAGAAAAGGATATGCTTTTTTGGTCCAGCTTAATTTGTTTATCTTAAATTCGCATTTTAAATTTTTTTCTAAAAAAAACACTTTTTTTTTGCCGAATTTTTAAAGAACGGTCGGTTTAAAAGTTTTTTTATAAAAATACCATTTATTTATTTATTTAAAAAGCACGTTTTAATTGCCGATTTGCTAACTATGGCTTGAATACACAAGGATAAACTTATGACATAGACAAAGATAGAGCATGCAATAAAACATACTTACACCACCCCATATCTCTCTCTCAAATGCACTTGCAACCCGTAAAAATTTCCCTTTACCCTTGATTCTATTCTTTGTATTTGTCAACCATGCGGGCAGGACCTGCCGTCAACTTTTCCAGCCCTTTTCTCTCTCCACCTTGTTTTAAGCATGGAGCTCTTAAGCCTATAAATTGGCCTGTCTCTCTCTTCACCTTTTTTTAAGCATGGAGCTCTTAAGCCTGTAAATTGGCCTGAATTGCTTCTTGGATCAAAACTACATTAGCAAGGAGACAATAAGGCGAGTAAAGATTCAAATAAAGAAGACAGAGAACAAAACAAACAGGCAAGTGACCTACTTACTCAATGAGAAAGAATGACCTCCTCAACAAGGCCAATGGGCTCTCTGTTCTTTGTGATATTGATATTGCTCTCATCATGTTCTACCAAAATGGAAAGCTCAGTGTTTTCTTTGGGAATAGTAGGTCACTAAACTCACTCTTTCTTTATTTTCTTATTACATTGAATATTTAGTAAAACATTGGGAAAAATAGGTCACTAAACTCACCCTTTCTTTATTTTCTTATTACATTGAATATTAGTTTCCTCATGACTAAATCTCTTATCTTTATCTTTCTTTTTTTTTCTCTTTGTCTATGCCCTGGGTTGAAGAAATTTTTGGCAATATATGAACATTCCTGTGCATGTATGGGTGAGGTAATAGTTTAATATTTAATGGGTTCTACTTGCTTTTTATTTGTGTCATCTATTAAGCTCTAATGTTTCCTTTTTGTTTTACTCCTAAGTTCATCTGAAGCGCCATTTTTGTTAGATATGCAACTTCAAACACAGAAAGAAAAAACTTCACAAAGGCTTCAGGATGAACAAGTAAGTATCATATCTCTCTTGTTATGTGATTGTGTGTATTAAAATTTGTGGTTTGGTTTACTCTTGAGTCGCACTGATAATGATGTAGAAAAGTATATAAATATGCCATTTATTTTAGGGGAAATGTTTCTTTGGAACCCCACTCACATATATAGCACATGTGACCCTAATCTTAGTTGTCAGATCTGAGTAGATGGCTGAGATATCTTGAGTCACAATATTACAAGCTAGCTCTTAACCATTAGATCTTGATCAGACGACTCAGAGTTTTTTATTTTTAACTTTTATTCTATAAATCATTTTAAGCCAAAATTTGTGACATGCATAAATCTAACAAGGGCGCACATGATTTTTTAAAAAAAATCCGATTATAAAAAATTACTAGAATACCCCTAAAAATGTCTGGGGTATTTTGGTCATTTATTTTTATGAAAATATTATTCTTAATTTTTTCCAGCTTCACCCTAATTTTTTGATTGGATGCCCAAAATTTTATTAAAAAAAATTTTGTAGAAAAAAATAAAACAGTGTTTGACATGACATTGTGATATAAACAACCAATGCTGTTTGATTCAGATCAAACGGCTAAGAAGTGGGGTCCCATATAACTTATATGTTCTTGGGTCACATGGAAAGTTCCTTCTTATTTTAGTACAAGGAGGTCACACTCAATCTTTTCTATCGAATTTTAAATCGGATGGTTGTATGTAATTGACTAGACTCAAAGCTATAAAGAATTTCTCATACTTCATGACGCACTTCAAGCTATCCGATTGATAACTAAGAGCTAGGAGTACTTATAACAATAGTAAACGATCTTATAGTACACAGTCTCAAATGATATTTGCGCTGCTATCGACTTTGTAAAACAACGTGTCCATGAAAACCTTTGGAAGCTGAGGTTTGAAGATAATCTGGCCTCTAAGATAAGCGGGTATCTCTTTCTCTCTCTCCCACTCTCTCTCATTTGGAAATGAAGGGCTTCATTTGTGCTTATCTCATTTGAATGTTTTTCTTTGTTTCCTAATATTGGATTCCTTGTGGACTGAGTTGAATCATCTCAAACAATCTTGACCCACGTATTCAGGTACGCTCACAACTTCTTATCGAAAATTATAGAATATGATTCTTCACTTGTGTTATAACAACATCACAATTCTTCCTAGTTATTAGATGTGAAGTTGGACTTTTAGGAATTTGCATTGAGACTTGCTAAAAGTCCAACAAAAATGTTCTTAAACTTATGATTCATCTTTATTTGTTTGATTTCTAATTTGATGGATATTCTAGTCTTATATTAAAATGATGCACGCCAAGATGCCTAGTACATTTTTAATTTTTATTAAATTTTTTTGAATATATTTTGCGATGTTGTAGGTTTTACTATTAAAAATTTTCAATTTATTAGGAAGTTCAAGGCCTTTTAGTGTTTGGAATTTTAGAGGCATTCAACTAGAGTCATTATATAATTATTTATTCTATCAAGGGTATATTTTAATCCGAAGTTATAATTATACTAGAATAAAGATATCTTGAGGGTTAAGGTTTAACAATAAATAGAAGTCTGAAGAAGATTTTGAAGCAGAGTAAAACATTGTTTGTTTGAAAGTCTGTGTTAAATTAGAGAACTAAGAAGCTTGGCTTATTATTTCATGATTATTTTTATTCAAATTTTCATTTCTTTGATTTCTTCTTATAAATTATACTGTGTATTATTAAGCTAAATGGTCTAATAACAGACAATCTCTGTAACACACATTTGGTCTTTAATTTTTGTTTGCAATCGTGTGATTCTCATTCCATCTTGTTTTTCTTATGAGAACCAATTACTTTGGAAATTTCAGGAGGTTAAGCGAGAAATTAATGGGGTTCTGTGACAATTGCAAGAAGCACAGAGAAAATTAAGGTACGCCTTTCTTACTAATCGGTAAACAAATCATTAACCAAACAATTAAACTAAATAGCAATAAAAGAAAACAAAATTTTACCTAGCCAAGGGAGCAATTGCAAAGTAAATCTCAATATACATAGCAATCATTATTTGTTCTTATGAAATTTGTTGTCACAGTCTTAATATACCCAAAAAGAAAAAAATTTAAGCTATATCTTTTTGTTTTGTGCACTGTGAATTTGTATGAATTGGGCTTGCACCTTAAAACCCAACTAATTCACATGTAAAACATTGTTTTCTCAAGCAATAATTCCAAAAACTGAAATAGAAACCCTTTTTTCTATGATTATCGTACTTGCTTGACTGTTGCGGTATAAAAAAAATGCAAACTTACTTTCACGGAGAGAGTTTGAATGCTAATGGATTCCTAACAGCCGATTCGACTCACATTACAAATTGGTTCTCACTTGGGGAAACACACTTCCGACAACATAATTTCATTGATTCTAACTCCCTACTCTCCTTGAAGTACTTTTATAAATAATTGAGAAAGAAATAACTTGTTAAATAATATAAAGCCTAAGAAAAGAACAATATTATGAGTAAAAAAATCAGGGCCAACTCTCTATAACGAATAAATGAATACACAAAAAAAAATGTCATGCCCCAAATAATTTTCTTCCAATACTCACAAAATTTTGATTGACAAAGGCCATTCACAATCAGTGGTTGAATTCTTAGCCAGTTCATTTGTGAGTTCTTTAAATGATGAATGTAGATGCATTGAACCTTGCAAATCAAGTTGAATTGAACAACGAGATAAATCGAGTAGAAGCCGATGAAGATTTCACTCATGTTCATATTACAACATGTCAACAGCTTGAAATTTACTCCACCACAACACCTGCAATTCATACTCTAGCAATCTCACCCACATATACAGTGAACTGGGTATTGTATTTCATTCCATGCGGCTCGTTTCTCTTGAGGCATTTGACATTTATAGGTTAAGATAGAAGGTTTTCTTGCAATGTTTAGAGTAATACCTTGAAATGATCTCTCGTGAAAAATAAAAAAAAGGCAACAAGATCGAACTAGTCAAAATGATTTAAGGGACACACATAGAGGGCAAACATATAAACAAATGGAAGCTCCAAAATATATATACTTATCTTATTAATTGGAGATCCATATTGTAGACCGGTTACTTATAGTATAAAAAGGTTACAACTATCGTTAGTAGTTAGATGTGGAATTGGGTGGCTAGGATGTGCAATTCTTTTACACAAAGTTCAAAATAAAACAATAAAAAAAATTCAATCGTTGAGGGTTATGAAAGCACACTCATCACGTCTAGATTTTTATATTTGAGAGCTAGAAGTGATTATGACTATCTTATGCAAAAGGTAAATAGTATTGTCGCATACTTATTCATTATTAACAATATTGTTGTACCTTATCTTATCTTAAACACTTGGATTCTAACAAATTGTTCTTTCTTTTTGGTTAATTACTTCCACAAAATGCTAATAACATGAGACAAAAACTTCTTTGACAAGGAACTGGAGAGTTTAACTTTGGTTCGCTGGTCCAAAATCAAGAGAATTAAATCTCTTCGAAGTTTGAACTATGCTTATATTGATTATAAAAAGTAACGATAGTAACCCTTTTTGGTTTTTTATTTCGTAATTTTTTTGGATGTTTGGGTCCAAGAATGAGCAATAGACTTTCTTCTTTTCTATTACAACTGATTCACCAATATGAGTCCGTTATTTTACATTTAAGAAGGGGAACAAAAGAAGCTAGTGTGTGTTTAAGAAAAAAGAAAAAGTTACTTGACGCCACCTCTTAAATTATAATGATAATTGAGAGCAATGGGGCAAATTTTAATAGGAAAAGTATATCGCATATTATTGAATGAAATGATGTCTAATAATTGAGAGGATTTGACTTGCCATTGGGATGCTGCAACCACCTTAAAGTTTCTTTCACTCCCATGAGCTATAACTTTCCTTAGTTATTGAAGCATACGATGCTTATCCTGCTTCAAATAGGTATAAAAAGTTTCGCTCCCCTGCTCAAGCTATAACCATGCCTCTTGTGCACTTTCGATTGCTCTCTCTTTCTCCAACGCTCCATAATTCTTTTCATATTTTAGGGTGTGTATCATCACCAATAACATTTGAATATCTTGGGTTGAAATCCATGAGATAGGAGAAATTGAAAAAGTCATTTATATGATTAAAGCTGGGTGGATGAAGTAGAGATGTGCTTCTGAAGTCTTATGTCATGGTCACATACGAATGAAACTAAAGGGGAATTTCTATGGGATGGTTGGAAGGCCACCATGTTTTATGGGATGGAATGTATGAGCAGTCAAGAAAAAAATATCCATATAGTAAGTGTAGCAAAGATGAGGATGTTGAAATGGATGAGTGACATGATAATAAAAAATGAAATTCGAAATGAATACATTCGAGGATATTTAAGAATAGATCCAGTAGGTGATAAAATAAAAGAAAGTAGACTTAGGCAGTCTTGGTCATGTGTAGTGTTGACCTAGGACGTAGTGGGTTTGACGGAGAGATTTAGTTCAAATGGAAGGCACTAAAAGGACAAGGGGATGGCCCAAATAGATATTGATGGAAGTGATGAGATTAGATCTAGTGACTAATGGTTTGACTAAGGATATGAAATAAGATTCGTATTGCCGACCCCAAATTATTGGGATAAAACTCAGATGATCAGGATGATTCTTACCATTAACAAGCTCATGCACAACCTTGTTTAAATTAATGAAGCGACTCAAAAGTGGATCTCTCTCTCTCTCTCTCCAACTTTTTCAATATTTTTTCCTAAGTCTTACCTCCTCCTACATACACATCGCTAAGAAGTACTTATCCCCCCACATCTTGGGTCTAACTATTTGGAAGCAACACCCCTTCACCTCTACGTACATGAATGAAAACCAACGACAAAATAGAGAAAAAAAAACATGCAAATACAAATTATCCACAATATAAAAAGAAAAATTTATTAATATATAACTAATTTATCAAATTTTTAATATTTTAAAATTTTTTAAATATTCCAAGATTTGCATTTTGATGAGTTTTTAAATTTATATGAAATAGGTAAAATGTTAAAGAGTTTTGATAAATCTCCCTAGAAAAATTAAACAAAAGAATGGGTAAAGAAGATAATTTTTTTTTAATAAAAAACCTTCACCACTAAGTTGAAAGTAAACTTTTTGTGAAGTGTTGGTTAACAAACACCAGCCAGTTCATGGGGAGTACTTGGAAATGACATCATGTTTGTTAAAGTCCAAAGTTTCTCTGAAGAGAAACTTGGGATATACGATAGGAATGGAAATGAATCATAGACACCTAGAAGATATTGAGACCTACCATAAAATACATAATATTGCACCTACCCTTCCCATGCATATTAATAACATACACTTTTCATAGTAACCCGGCAGACGTTGTACACTTTCCTGAATAATGTTCATGGGTAAACCATGGAAGTACTTCAACTTTAACTTTGAAATTCTAACCAAACCAAACCTTGTTGACACTTTGTGATTTATCCTATATTTTTTTGAAGGAAAACAAAGCGAAAATTTTATGTGTTGCTATTGTGGTCCTCTTCCCAAAATCTCTCTTAGAGAATGACTTTTGGACTAAACTTTTATAGGCCAATAATCTCGACCACTTTGATTATGAATCTTAAAAATAGAATTTAAATTTGAATTTAAATTTAAATTTAAATTTAAATTTTATGATATTTTATTTTAAAAGAATTAAAATGCATAGTCTATGAAAATTTTAAAACAACATGTTTGTAAAGTTTAAAATATATTTTTAAATTTATGCTTGTGCTAGTTGAGATTATCAACCTGTAGAATTAGAGTTGATAAGAGAGAGTTGGAAAGCCCTCTTTTAGCAGAGTCATTGATTTGAGTGAGTTGTAATGAGTTGGAACCCTCTCTTTCTCATCAAATAAGTTAAGAGCTGGAGCTTAGCGAATTTCTTTTGCTTAAACACACTAGCTTTTCTTTTCCTTGCATAATGGACTTATATTTGTGTTCAATGCATTCAAAAAAGGAAAGAATTTGGGCTTTCTTAGACCCGAGTCATCCAAGAAATATCAAAAAAAAAAAAAAAAAAACAGAAAAAGAAATGTCATCCTTGTTTTGTGTAGTTGATATAAGCATAGTGGCAAAAGATCTAATCCTCCTTATTTTGAGTCGACGAACCATACTCTCCACTTCCATCTAATTTTGAGTCAACGAACTTGAGTCTCCAATTCCCTGTGAATATAATCTCCATGGCATCCAGGTAAGATCGTATATTAAGAGAATTTTGTGAAATAAATTAACCAAAAAGGAAAATACAATATGTGAGAAGTAAAATATTTATGGAGAGACTACGCACACATGTGTTAATAATGAACTACCTTCTGCACAGGAAAATCACAATTATTCTTAGTCATCAAATATGAAATTGGTAAGTTGAAGAGTGTGTCATTCATCACCTTCAATGATTAACATTTTTCGAACTGTGTAAAAAAAGAATGGCACACTCCTTTGCCTGCCTGGTTCCACTTTGACAACTAGAGTTGTAGCCTTCTTATAGCATAGATAAAGGGTCTCACAGTATACAAATCACGAATGAATGAGATAAGTGTGGGTATGTTTTAAATTTTAGTTTTATTGAATGGATGGCTATTGATCAATGAAAACTACCTACATTATTTTACATTGGTTTACATATTTTCTTGTACTTATGCCCTTGAGTATGCATATGCATGTCTCCTGAATCATTTAACATAAAATATTTTAACATTTAAGTACAATTTTTCTTTTTTCCAAATTCATGATCATAGTGGTTGAGATTATTTTCAATGTATAATTTGAAAAAGTTGTAAAGAAATCCTATATCTGAACTTAAAAGTATTGACTGGCCCAAGAGAAACCTTACTAGTATATATAAACATGTAAATTGTATGGAAAG